TCCTTCCTCCCTTCAATTTATTTCTACTTTTCTGCAAAGAAAACAGGAAACCAAGTTTGTTTAAATTAAATATAAGAAAGGGGGAGAGAGAGAGAAAGAGGAAGGAAGGAAAGGAAAAAGGGAAGGAGGGAGAGGTTTCTTGAAATTAAAGAGCATGAATTTAAGTGTCTGTCCTTGTTAGTCTGACAAGAAAGGGAAAGTCCAGGGAAAGTCACCTCAGGTGTCATTGTTCTGTTGCAACATGTGGTGTTCCTGACGGATCCCTTGTCTTTCCGGTTCTTGGTTTTCTCATATGCAGAATCTTGTTGTGACCAAGTTGTGTTGGCAGTTCACTTTCTTTAAGTATATATGTTGGTCATCTCTGTTGAAGATGATAGAAAAAATCACGTCATGGCGGATCACCGAGGTCCAGGAGATCGGACATCCTGGCGAACACGGTGAAACCCGCTGCTTACTAAAAAATAATCAAAAAAACCTTGAGACCGGGGCGAGGCGGCGGGCTGTAGTTCGCCCAGCTACTCGGGAGGCTGAGGCAGGAGAATGGGTGTAAACCGCGGGCGGGGCGGAGGCTTCGCAGGTGAGCTGACAGATCCGGCACTGCCTCCAGCCCGGGTCGACAGAGCCGAGACCTGCGTGCTCAAAAAAAAATAAAAAAAAAAAAAAAAAGAAAGAAAAATCACCGTCAGTAGACAAATTTAAAACAGGCCAGGCGGCGGTGGCTCATGCTTGTAATCCCAGCTCCTCAGAGAGGGCAGAGGCGTTTGGATTTTTGAGCCCAGGAGTTCGAGACCAGCCTTGGCAACACGGTGAAACCCCGTCTCTACCAAAAATACAAAAATTAGCCAATCTCACAGCCCGGTCTCAAAATAAAAATAAATAAATTAATTAATTAAAATTTCAAAAAATGAAAGAAAATTTACAGACATAGTCAAAGAAAAGCCGTACCACTTACAGGATGGTGTTCGGCTATCTGGAGCAGCCCCGTATGGTGGGTACTTCATTTATCCGGGGGAGATGCGGGATAATGAGCTCATTTTAGACCCTTTGCCCTACCTGGCTTTCCCTGGGAAGGCTGCTTGGTTGTGTTGAAACCCTCAGAAATCAACAGTAGAAAACTTCTCTAAAACAGCTTTGGCCTTTTTGCATATGAATGACTTTTACTCTGTAAATCAGTTCTTTTGCTTACCATCCTAGTCCTCTGCTTTCCACCCCAAATCCTGGTTTATATGTTTGTGGTTTTCTTTGTTTGTTTATTTGTTTGCTTGTTTGTTTTTTGAGATGGAGTCTCACTCTGTTGCCCAAGCTGGAGTACAGTGGCTTGATCTCAGCTCTCTGCAGCAACCTCCACTTCCCAGGTTCAAGTGGTTCTCCTGCCTCTGCCTCCTGAGTAGCTGGGATACAGGCGTGCATGCCACCACGCCCGGCCAATTTTTGTATTTTTAGTAGGAATGGGGTTTCACCATGTTGGCCAGGCTGATCTTGAACTGCTGACCTCAAGCGATCCACCCGCCTTAGCATCCCGAAGTGCTGGGATTACAGGCGTGAGCCACCACACCCGGCCTATATGTTTGTTTTTAAAATCTCTCTTCCTAGAGTCATGAGAATTCTCATTAATTTCACTTAGAGCTCCTGGAGAGAAAAGCCTCTATTTTTGTCATTGTAACAATAAAAAAAGTGTAGAGGTTTTTTTCTTTTGAGACAGTGTTTCGCTCTTGTTGCCCAGGCTAGAGTGCAGTGGTGCGATCTTAGCTCACTGCAACCTCCACCTCCTGGATTCAAGCAATTCTCCTGCCTTGGCCTCCCAAGTAGCTGGAATTACAGGCATGTGCCACCACACCTGGCTAATTTTGTATTTTTAGTAGAGTCAGGGTTTCATCATGTTGGTCAGGCTGGTCTCGAACTCCTGACCTCAGGTGATCTACCTGCCTTGGCCTCCCAGAGTGCTGGGATCACAGGTGCAAGCCACTGTGTCCAGTTTGTTGTTGTTGTTGTTGTTGTTGTTGTTGTTGTTGTTGTTGTTTTGGAGACAGGGTCTCATTCTATTGCCCAGGCTGGAACACAGCAGCACAATCATAGCTCACTGTAGCATCAAACTTCTGGGCTCAAGCAATCTTCCTGGCTCAGCCTTCCAAATACCTAGGATTACAGGTGCACACCACCACGCCCAGGTAATTTTTTCTTTTCTTACACAAATGTGACTCAACATGGATTTTTTTTTTTCTTTTTTGGCAGAGATGATGTCTCACTATGTTGCCAGGCTGGTCTCAAAATCCCTGCCTCAAGCCATCCTTCCACTTTAGCCTCCCAAAGTGCTAGGATTACAGGTGTGAACCACCGCACCTACCCCCAAGAACTCTTTTTTTTTTTTTGGAGACAAAGTCTTGCTCCGTCAACCAGGCTGGAGTGCAGTGGCATGATCTCAGATCACTGCAACCTCTGCCTCCCAGGTTCAAGCAATCCTCCCACCTCAGCCTCCCGAGTAACTAGAATTACAGGTACACGCCACCATGCCCAGCTAATTTTTGTATTTTCAGTAGAGAGGGGGTTTCACCACATTGACCAGGATGGTCTCGAACTTCTGACCTCAACTGGTCCACCCGCCATGGCCTCCCAAAGTGCTGGGATTATGGGCATGAGCTACTGCACCTGGCCCCTAAGAACTCTTTAAATGCACCTACTGTCACAAGAACAGATAGCTAAACTGTGTCTGAAAAAGGCTCACGCAGGGAAATTTGTGATGGATTTGGGGAAGCTTAGGGCGAATTTTAAACATGAGGCCTTTTGTCAGATCACCTACATTCCTCGGATTGTGCGTGGGTTTGTCGCAGATGCTTGATATGACAAATTACACAGCTCCTATCGCTTCATTTGATCAGCCACCCGTTGACTTTCAGCCAAGTCCTGCAGGGTTGCTTCTCAGATTGTATCTTTCTGCAAGACAAATATGTTTTCATAGTCTCTCTTTAACTTCTCCCTTTTGTGGCTACTAATTTATACTTTTATGTTTTTCAACTCCTTATTTTTGTTTTCTCTTTATGAAAGCTTTTAACGTGTGCTGTTCTTGAGGGAACTACTGATGCATATCTAAACTTTAGGGGTGTTTTTCACGCTGGCTACAGACACTCGGTAAATAATTTTTCAGGTGATGGGAAAACCCATCATCATGAGAATGTAGCAACTTTTATTTTGTAATAACTGTTAAAATTGTGGCCACGGTGCTCAGTAAAAGGGGACCTTCCCCTTGTAGATGTTTGGGGAGGAGTGAAGTCCTGTCCTCCATTTTGTTAGTAAATTGCTTATGGATGGGGCATTATCACCTAGAAAGAAAAGAGATACCATGGTATGCAGTAACAGGGAGCCGGAGCAAGAGCAAGACAAAGAAATTCCCTTATGTTTTCAATGCAGAGCCAGCATTTAGATCTCTACCCCAGGCAGGGCCCACAAATATCTGGCAGCTGTGAGCACCTGTTTTGCTCCTGCCTTCTTCCTGTTGGCAATTTTGAGTTTTGGTGGTTTTTTAGACAGAGTCTCACTCCGTCACCAGGCTGGAGTGCAGCGGTACAATCTCGGCTCACTGCAGCCTCTGCCTCCTGGGTTCAAGTGATCCTCTTGCCTCAGCCTCCTGAGTAGCTGGGACTACAGGTGCGCACCACCACAGCCAGCTAATTTTTGTATTTTTAGTAGGGATGAGGTTTCACCATGTTGCCCAGGCTGGTCTCAAACCCCTGACGTCAAGTGATCTGCCCACCTCAGCCTTTCAAAGTGCTAGGATTATATATACACATATATATTTTAAATATACGTTTTATATATAAATATAAATTATATATATTTATATATTTTAAATATACGTTATATTTAAATATATACATATATATTTTAAATATATACGTTATATTTTAAATATATGTTATATTTTAAATGTACATTATATATAAATATAAATTATATATACGTATATATTTTAAATATATACGTATATATATAAAAAAATGAGTAGAATTCATCACCTAACTTCTAAAGCTGCTTCTCTAGATGAAATTCCGGCACTTAGGAGTCAGCAGCAGTGTATTGAGTGCATGACCCTTACTCACAGGTGCTTCTTTCCTGTCCTATGGCAGGCGGCACCAACAGAAGGCTTCTGCAAGGCTGAGAGCTCCTTTTACCCATGGACCAGGAGCAAAGTTTGCAGCTACACTGTCAGGCTGTGTTTGGATGTTAGCAGTTAGTTTAGCTTTGCGTCTTCAGAGCAATTATCCTTAGCTATTTAAAGATTTAAAAAAAAGAAAAAAAAATGACGCCCATAAAGCATTTGCTGCTCCGTAGGATGGGAGCACACTCTATTGTTGGGCATTTGAGGCCCTCTGGCACGTGTTTTCCGTTTGTTGTTGTCAGGGTTGTCCCTGTAGTTTCCCAGAAGTAGAACTCCCCGAAGCTGTTTCCCAGAAACGATAGGGGTGTAGATAATGGATGTCCAGAGACAGAGAACACTCCAGTGCCAGATCCGTGTGCTGCTTTGTCAGACATTTGTTTATTTATTATTTTGTTTGTTTTTGAGATGGGGTCTCACTGTGTTGCCCAGGCTGGTCTTGATCTCCTGAGCTCAAGTGATCCTCCCACCTCAGCCTCCTAAAGTGCTGGGATTACAGGCATAAGCCACTGTGTCCAGCTGTTATTATTATTATTATTTTGAGACAGTTTTGTTCTTGTTGCCTAGGCTGGAGTCCAATGGCACAACCTTGGCTCACTGCAACCTCTGCCTCCTGGGTTCAAGCAATTCTCCTACCTCAGCCTCCCGAGTAGCTGGGATTACAGACATCCGCCACCATGCCCAGCTAATTTTTGTATTTGTAGTAGAGGCGGGGTTTCACCATGTTGGCCAGGCTGGTTTCGAACTCCTAACTTTAGGTGATCCACTCACCTCGGCCTCTCAAAGTGCTGGGATTACAGGCATGAGCCACCGTACCTGGCCCCAGCTGTTATTCTTTTTAATTGATACTTAATACTTGACACCTAATACATATTTAATTGATACCTAATACATATTTACAGGGTATATTGTGATATTTTGATACATGTTTACAATGTGTAAGGATCAAATCAGGGTAATTAGCATATCCATCACCTCAAATATTTATCATTTTTTTGTGTTGGGACATTCAAAATCTGCTGTTCTAGCTATTTGAAAATATACAATAAATTGTTACTTATAGTCACCCTATAGTGCTTTAGAGCACTAGAACTTATTCCCCCTATCTAGCTGTACTTTTGTATCCATTAAGCAACCTTTAGGCTGTGCACAGTGGCTCACGCCTGTAATCCCAGCACTTTGGGAGATCGAGGTGGGTGGATCACCTGAGGTCAGGAGTTCAAGACCAGCCTGGGCAACATAGCAAGAACCGTCTTTAAAAAGAAAAGAAGGCTGGGCGCGGTGGCTCAAGCCTGTAATCCCAGCACTTTGGGAGGCCGAGATGGGCGGATCACAAGGTCAGGAGATCGAGACCATCCTGGCTAACACGGTGAAACCCCGTCTCTACTAAAAAAATACAAAAAACATTGGCCGGGCGCGGTGGCTCAAGCCTGTAATCCCAGCACTTTGGGAGGCCGAGATGGGCGGATCACAAGGTCAGGAGATCGAGACCATCCTGGCTAACACGGTGAAACCCCGTCTCTACTAAAAAAATACAAAAAACATTGGCCGGGCGCGGTGGCTCAAGCCTGTAATCCCAGCACTTTGGGAGGCCGAGGCGGGTGGATCACGAGGTCAGGAGATCGAGACCATCCTGGCTAACATGGTGAAACCCCGTCTCTACTAAAAATACAAAAAACTAGCCGGGCGTGGTGGCGGGCGCCTGTAGTCCCAGCTACTAGGGAGGCTGAGGCAGGAGAATGGCGTGAACCTGGGAGGTGGAGCTTGCAGTGAGCTGAGATCTGGCCACTGCACTCCAGCCTGGGCGACAGAGGGAGACTCCGTCTCAAAAAAAAAAAAAAAAAGAAAAGAAAAGAAAATTTAAAATTTTCTTCACTGGTCATTCAGGAGCATATTGTTTAATTTCCGTGTATTTGTACAATTTCAAAAGTTCACCTTATTGTTGAGTTCTGGTTTAATCCATTGTGGTCAGGAAAGATACTTGATATAATTTCAGTTACTAGACTTGTTTTGTGGCCAAACATATGGTCTGTTCTGGAGAATGTTTCTTGTGCTGATGAAATAATGTGTCTTCTGAATCTGTTGGATGAAATGCTCTGTAAATGTCTCTTTGTTAGTCTAAAATGCAGGGATTTTTTGTTTTTTTGAGTCTCACTCTGTTCCCAGGCTGGGAGTGCAGTAGCATGATCTTGACTCACTGCAACCTCCACCTCCCAGGTTCAAGCAATTCTTATGCCTCAGCCTCCTAAGTAGCTGGGATTACAGGTGCCCACCACCACACCCAGCTAATTTTTGTATTTTTAGTAGAGACAGGGTTTTACCATGTTGACCAGGCTGGTTTTAAACTTCTGGCCTCGAGTGATCCGCCCACCTTAGCCTCCCAACGTACTAGGATAACAAATGTGAACCACCGCGCCCAGCCTAAAGTGCAGTTTAAATCTAGTGTTTTGTTGTTGATTTTCTGTCTAGATGATCCGTTCGGTGCTGAGAATGGGTTGTTGAATTCCCCAGCTATTGTACTGGTGTCCATGTCTCCCTTTAGATCTAATAATAATTTGCTTTATATTATATATCTGGACGCTTCAGTGTTGGGTGCATATATATTTAGAATTGTTATGTCCTCTTGCTGAATTGATCCCTTTACCATTATATAATAACCTTTTTCTTTTTTTTAATCGTTTTTGACTTGAAGTCTGTTTCATCTGATGCAAGTACAGCTACCCTGCTTGCTTTTGGTTTCTGTTTGCATGGAATATCTTTTTCCACCCTTTCAGTCTATGTGTGTCTTTACAGATGAAGTGAATTTCCTGTAGGCAACCATAGTTGGGTCATGTTTTTTAATCCATTCAGCCAGTCTATCTATTTTAAGGGGGGAAATTTAATCAGTTTACATTCAAGTTTATTATTGATAGGTGAGGACTTCTGTCATTTTGTTAATTATTTTCTGTGTTTTTTTTTAATATCCTTTGTTCTTTTCTTCCCCTCTTGTTGTTCATCCTTGTGATTTGGTGGTTTTCTATAGTGGTAAAGTTTGATTCTTTTCTTTCTTCTTTGTGTATATGCTCTACCAGTGAGTTTTATATTTTTTGTGTTTTCTTGATAGTAGTTATCATTTCGTGGAACTCCCTTGAGCATTTCTTGTAAGACTGGTCTAGTGGTGATGAATTCTGTCAGTTTTTGTTTGTCTGAGATATGTCAGACATTTAGTTTCAGGACCTGATTCTAGTTCCCTGCCCTATGGCAACAAGTAGAAACAGATCCCTGGTGCACTGCTTAAGTATTAGGCCAGCTAGATGTGAGCAGATGAGAAAATCAAATCCTTCTATTTTGCCAGGGATTAATTCATTCTCAGGATTGTAAATATTACATTTCACCTTCACCTCACAGAACTGTAGAATTAGGGGGTGAGCTGGGCAGCTTGCCCAGCAAGACATTATGATGTATACAACACAGTGCACTACTAAGGAGGTGTGTTAAAAGGCATTTACAGCACATAGCTTTTTTTTTTTTTTTCCTTATAAGTTTGGTGCTCTTTATTTGTAGTAGTAGATAAGGAATTAAGAAAGCAAAAATGAGTGCTTTGACTAGGTCTTTTGCCTTTGAAGGTAACATTAGTAAAATCCCCTCTTCTTTTTTATTCTTATAAAATTTACCCAATTCACTCTGCCCCCCAGCCCATCTGTGTTCACTTGCTGTTCTTGATGCTCTCAGTTTTTAAAAGCTTATTCTAAAATTACATGAAAGCAACCCCATTTTGACAAAATTAGAATTCTGGTAGGAAACGCTTGCCACAAGGCTATGGAGAGAGGCCCAGCAAGACTTTTGTATTTTTTTCCAACCTCTCTTGGTTAAACCTACAATTCGGTAGATGATATAATTACCTCCCTGGGGTAAGTCTCTATCTCTGCCTTGGAGAAATAACAAAGTCCAAAGTAGTCTCCTCATTCAAAGATGTTGCAAACGAAGGCTGTTTTGATCTTTATGTATTAGCATTTGGGTTTTAATCTTTCTGGAGCTCCTGACAGAAAATTCCTTTACATTTATTATATAATTCTAAAATATTGGACATATTTGTTTCAAGCATCTGTCAATACCCTTACTCTTTCCATTCCACTCCCCACTGCCTTCATTAGTCATCAGGTTCTACTGATTTTTAACTCCTAAGTATTTCTCAAATCTGTCTCCTCAGTGTGTATCGTGGGTTATATAACTCCATCTCCATTGTCACTGTGCTGCTTTAGACTATCTTTTCTTGTCTAGATTAGTGCCTGGCTTATATTATGGGCTTCATAAAGTGGGATCAATGAATGAATGATTCATATTCTGGACAACAGCACTCTAACACCTAACTGAAAAAAAAAAAAAACTTAACCTCTATCTTCCATGTAAAAGCATCTATCTAAAAGGCAAATCTTACTTTG